GTTGGAGCCTACTCAAAAAAAAAAAAAAAAGAAAGAAAGAAAGAAAAAGAAAACTGCATGCCAGTTCTATTTCTTGGCATATATTCCATAAAAATACTTTTATGTGTATGTGCAGAGTGATAGGGCATGCACCAGGATGCTCGCTGCAGTATTCCTGATAGGAAAAAATCAAAACCACCTAAATTTAGCTCTACCAACAGAATAGCTAAGTATACTATACTCATACTATTAAACTGACCATAGCAGTTAAGAAGGATGTAGATTTCCATGTCCTAAAATGGAAAGATCTCAAAGACATTGGATTTTAAAAGGCACGTTGCAGAATGATACAGTGTAATATGTGTGGGTGTGTGTATAAACACACAGTTGTATATATAAACATACTTCTACTCCATCTTCAGTGGGGGTTAGTTTAAGTCCTATCACCTCTGACTTCACCCTTGGAAGAGATGCAGAGATAGGCAAAGAAGTAGAGGGCATAAAGGAAAATCTTAAAGTCTGATAGGCTTCATCCTGGTAAATTTCAGCAGGGGACTTGACTGCATTTAGTATCCAGAATGGGTCTCGGTAGAACTCTCTAGAAACCGCATGATACCTTAACCTACAGCCCTCAAAATACAGAGTCTGTCTAAGGCTGGAATGTTTTTTATTTAGTTCCAGTTACTGATTTCTGGTCTGGGTTCCTCCTTTGTATTGAGCATTGACAGTAATCAAGATTTTCTTTTTGTCTTGCCAATATTTATTTAAATTTCAAATTCAGCAAGTTGGCTTACTGCTGGAAAAGCCCATCTTATAAAAAGTTCTAATTAAAACATGGATTGTCCATAGCCTGAGTGCATACCTGAGTATAGAAGGTCTGAGTCCTTAACACTATGAAGCAAAAGGTCAGAAATAAAGTTCTAGCTTTAAACTCTTTAATGCAGACTTTGCCCAATGGTGGGACCACAGCCTCCTCCTTTGCTTCTATCTGCTGTGGGCAGGTTCCATTTTTCACCAACTGATGGAACACAGCATCTGTGTTGTGGTTTCTTTTTAACCAGAATATAAGAAAGTATTTGCTGACTGAAGCCAGAGAAAAAAATAGACCTGAATTTCTTCAGGGTTGGCAGACTGCTGTTACAAAGGTAAGTAAGTATGTGATAAAAATGAAAACTCAGGCATGTCAAGGGGATGGAATCACTTCAGGGGTGGGTGTATAGAAGCATTTACAAGTATTCAAAGACTGGTTATGGAGATACCGGTGAGTGTCTGGAGGCCGCAGGCAGGCTTAGAATAAGCCTCCATTTAGTATCGATCATCTGTTTAGTTTCCTAGTGCTTGTGGAAAACCAATTCACTCATTTCATCCTTGGGGCAGCTGCTAATGATATGGTTGTTACAGTGGGGAAAAAAGATATGTAACTTTTTTTCTTTTGGTGGCACCTGCCTCTTGCCTCTTATTTCCAGATGAACCACAGAGACCCAGAGAAATGCTGAAATGACCATTTGTTTCAGCCTGAAAGCAGCACCATGTTTGCCCTGTAGACACTTAGGCTGTATGTGGGGGAGAGTGCCCAGGCACATTTTCTCATTGCTGTCACAGATTACCAGGGTCCTATTTTATGGTCACTGCTTTATTGTTTTCAAAGTGTGCGTCTAAGTGTGATCTCATCTCATCCTTAGAACCTGTGAGGCAGGTCATTTAGGGATGAGCATCATCTTTATTCTATAGATGAGAAAACCAAAGCCTAGGTGTGACTTTCTCCCAAGGCTACCAAAACTATTGCTAGAATCAGGTCCTTGAACTCAGGTCTTTCTGGATCACTGAACACAAATCTTAAAGAGGCAATCTTGAAACAAACTTTAAGCCAAACCCAAAAGGACCAGATCTGTTCATCCTTGAACTACACCAAATGCTACGGTTGTCTTTTAGTTCAAACCAGAATTGAACTTGTAAATTTTCTAAATTTACTCAACTAGAATACCCAGATATTCTAAATTGAGTCAGCATTCATATTCCCACTTTAGGCAGGATACATAACCAGTTCTTTTGGAAAATACTGCTTATCTTTAGGATTTCGTTCAAAGAGTAAGAGTTGTGTAGTAGGAGAGGAAAAGCAGACTGCTAAGCAGGATTGTTAGTAAGTAATCAGAGTCCAGGCATATGCTTTCTGATTCACAATTCCCTTTTGATTCTGGTCTATAATCTGACGTCAAAATTAGTTATCCAAATGGAAGTTTTAAATTAGGATTTTGATTGCCTATTTTATGCCATTTAGGCAAAATGTTCTATCAATTACAGTTGGTTGCTTGCTCTTTTGATGTGGCTAGATGCCTCCATAAAATCCCACTTTAAGTACCAGAGGTATATACCAGTGCACCAGCTGTCGTGGACAGACTTCTGGTCTCTTGCTCATATTTCCATAAAAACAGATTATATGAAGACAAGTACTTGGGTCTTATTTTAACAGTCATTTTGTTTTTCTCCTTAGTGTATTCCACAACAGAAAAATGACAGTGACTGTGGAGTCTTTGTGCTCCAGGTAAAGAAACCTGTTTTCCCAGACTTTAGAATGTGTGGATTAGGTTTGGTGGGCTTAGACAGATGGGAGCCCCTGTGGTGTATGTACCTGGCACTAGGAACAGATTAAAGTCTATTTACCTTCCTTTGCTGCTGGGGAGCTGTAGCTTTTGTACTTTCTTCTAAAGCCAACAATGAACAACTGGTATCCACATCTTATCAAAGGTTGTTAGTAAGGCACACCAGAGACTGACCTGAACCTCTGTGTACTGAAGACCTTTGGTACTGCAGAACTAACTATATTTTCTTAAAGTGGCAGGTGGTCTTTAACTACAGAGTAAAAACTAATTACATTTTAAATAAGGGCCACATTCAAAAATTGCTTTCTCTTGCTGTGCGTTCTCTTAATGGTCCAAAAAAGGGCTAATGTGAAAATTTTGTTAGACATTATATTTATGAAAATTGTATATAACCCACGAGCTTAGAGATTTGCAGATTATGAAAGATGGGCTCATTCCTGTGACTCAGGAATGCCTGGGGTTTTTGCAAACAGAGGTTCTCCCCTAAAGACGTTAGGTCTAGCTGCCGTTACAGCTTTAGAATTGGAGCCTCTTCATCAGTTTCTGCTTCTCAGTATTGTGTTGGGAAAGAGGGGAGACCCCAAGCCGTAAACTTACCTGGAAAGGTGACTATGATTTGGAGGTAAATGTTTTAAAGCAACGTGTCTTACAACCAAACTTTAAAACTTTACCTTAGAGCCTGTTCTATTAGGTTTGCATCTGGGAAAATACACTGGGCTGCTTCATAGCTCCACATGCCACTTAAGCGTTTCTGGGACTTTTGCAGTACTGCAAGTGCCTCGCCTTAGAGCAGCCTTTCCAGTTTTCCCAAGAGGACATGCCCCGAGTGCGGAAGAGGATTTACAAGGAGCTGTGTGAGTGCCGGCTCATGGACTGAAACTCAGCAGGGACTCTGGGAGGTCTGACCAAGTTGAAGCAGATGGTTTGTTACTTGAATCTCCAAACACTTATTTGAATTTTTACAGATAGATCAGTGGTGTTGGGCCACTATTGTTACCTCAAATTTGTTTTTTTTTGCCCTATTCATTTCTCTAGCTACCGTGTACTATTTTTTAATGTTCAGTTTGGTTTCATTTTTAATTTTATGGATTCTGTGTGTTTCCCCCCATATTTAATATTTATTATCCAAACGCATGCATATAAACAGAGCATGCAGTGCAGAGTATTAAAAAACAAAAACAAACAAAAAAAAAAAAAACAAAAAAAAGCCTAGTAGATTTGGTGCGGCTTTTGAAACTTAGTTAGACATGAACTGAATACAGGTTTAAAATTTAATCCCAGAACCTAAAAGTGCAGAATGTTTTCAATACAACATAACTCTGAGAATGATAGTTGTTCCCTGGGGCATAAAGGGTAGCTAGGAGTTGTGGTTTTGACAAAGCCAGTCCTGTTTTACCTGCTGCACCTTTCACTGACTTCCCTCTCCAAGTGAGTCTTGCAGAATGAGTTGCATTCCTTTTGAGGGGTGAGAAGCTAGTGGTCAAAACTTGACTGCTGTGTTCCATTTATAGAGGCACACTTATAAGTGCAGTGCCTACTTTGAGAGGAGTTAAGTGGTCAAAACTTGACTGCTGTGTTCCATTTATAGAGGCACACTTATAAGTGCAGTGCCTACTTTGAGAGGCGTTAAGGTGTGAGAAAAAGACAACTTTGGGGCTAGTTATATGAACACATGAGAAACTTCGATCTTGGCTTTAAGAGGAATTGTTAGCAAATGCCTAATGTTACAAAAGGCTTTTGCAGGAACACTGAATTCTCTGGATTTTTGGCTTTGGCCCATTAAAACATTAATATCCATCAAGCTAGTGGTCAAACATCTGAGAATACAGCCTTCCTAAGAATAATTACAGGTTGTCAATACCGTCGTGTGGCCTACCCTTGGAAGAAATTAAGATTTGCCAAACACCTATTTTCCCCCCAAGGGTGTTTAAAATGTAAATCTTCAAACCTGAAGACTGATTAGGTCTTTTGCAGATGGGTGGGGAGGAGAGAAGAGGAAGGGTAACAAGACTTGACAGCACAGGAGCGCACAGCAGATGTTATTCGAGGTTTTTTGCTCTTACCTCTAGTGATCTCGGCAGCATGTGGGGCTCCTCATTTGGCCTCTCCTGCCCAGCCCTCAGACTCCAGTGCTGGAGTCCTTTTTTCACTTCTATCAACCTCATCTTCTGGGGTAAAGCAGAAGTGACCCTGTCCTGATGCTTTTAGCTGCATTAGGACTGAAGTAATGGACCTTGCATCTTTACTCTAGCCTTTTGTGATATTTGAAAAGAAAGAATGAGGAAGGATGCATATTAAATTACCCAATTATCTTTTCTGAACCGAGGTAGAAAAAAGTACAAAGGTGTATGTAAGAATCTCAAGACGCTTACACAGAATACCCAGTAAATGACAACATACTTAGACGTATGCCTGGTTAGGTGTGGGGTATTGAAAGTAAAAAAGCTAAACGTGCAGTTTAATTTGGCCATAAGGTAAGGTTGCCAGTGGTTGAGGGTAGAGTCAGAACATGTTTACACGCAGGGTTCCCATCCCCAGACATTCCAAGCACCCATACCAGTGTTTACACATGTAGAAAGCCCCAGCACTCTCCAGAGTCTTCTGGACTTACTGTAAAGCCAGGTCAGTATTTCCTACTGTGCTTCAAGTCACTAAAAGGCCTGAGATCAGAGGCACTCACTGTATGCTGCTACAGTTAGGGTTGTGTCAGCATTAGCAAAGATGACAGTTTAAGTGGGGAGATCTTCTTGAGGTTTTCCGACATGATTATGCAAATGAATTTCTTTTTTTTTTTCAGATCTACATGTAAGACATTTGCCTAACTTTTGTGGGGAGGCAAGTAGTTACACCAAGTGGCTAGTATAACTAGACTGTGGATTCACAATGTCTTAATTTTAGAGGTCCATCTCCCTTCCTCACTGACAGAACCAGGCATGGAGGAAACACACAGAACTGTGTTCTGAATTTTCATGCCCAAAACTTGACTTGCCGTTTCCGCCAGTCTGAGAAATGGTCGCCCTCTCAGTGCTGAGTCAAGCAGGGGTGCACAGAGGTAACTAAAGTAAACTGTCCAGCTTCCCTTTTCACTTCTGGTTTGATAGGGCACCTTGAGGTGCGTTGTCAAATATTTGAAGACATCTGGTTCAAGTGTTTCTTCTCTGTTCATGAAACTTGGTTTTAGCACACAGTCGCTTTCTCCCCTACTCTTTGTGATTAGGTGGTAAACTTCTATTTAGCCCAAGTCCTACATCAGAAAGGGCCTTTGTCCTAATGTTTCCAACATCTGCTTCCTTGCAGCAAAGACATTTTTGAAATGTAGTCTGGGCTGCTGGTGGAAGAGGGTGGGCATTGCTTTGTCACTAGCTTGGCACTGAATTGTTTGGGTGCCCACAAGATGGGCAGGCCTTAGGCTTTTGGGGTTAAGTGCAGGCCTTGTACAAACTAAAAGCTGCTGATGTGCCTTCAAGCTGTGCCCAGTCCTGTCCATCAACAAACATACCAGTCTGTAGTTATTTCTTTCCAGTGATTTGTCCTTATGTTACATCTATAGCAATGTGGATTTAATTCAACTTTTAGTTGAGGTCCCTTAAGGAAGGGAAAAAGCAGCAGTTACTGCCCCAAATCCCCAAGTCACTTTTTGGTTTTGCATTGTATTTTCTACTTACGGAATATGCGTGAGACCAGTCATCTTGGATTCATAGTTGGAACAAAACTACAGCCCTAACTGGGACACAGCAGCACTAGTCTAAGAGCTGCCCTTTTTCTCTGCAGTCTTGGTTCACTGCTTCCCTGGGTCAGAAGGGCTGACTGGGAGAGCTCTGGGTGAATCAGAACCTTCAGGCGTGGTAATAGTGTGAACTGAATGAACTGAATATACTGACTACCTGCTCTGCTTAATTATGTTTAAGAAACCGAACTAATCAGCAGTTGTAAAGCACCTGCTTTTATTATATACGAGGCTCTGCCTTAAGACCTAGGGAATACACCATCAGAGAAATACTAATTGTATTCGAGTGTTACAATGGCAGGCCTAGATAAGCTGTTCACTTAAATGGTACCTTTTGGTCAGAAAAAGAATTTATTTAAAGATTGTGATCATGTAAAATTACTCAAACCTTCTAGCAAAAATATTTTTTTGAAAAATAAACTAAATGCCTTTATAAACTTGTGTGTTCCTCTTGAATAACATGTACTGTTTGGTTGAGTAGTTTCTCAGATGGATGCTAAGCAGCCTACTCTTAAATAACACTGCCCAACAGAATTTTCTGCGATGGCTCAATTTCTGAGCACTGCTAGTAGCTACCACATTCATATCAAAATCTGTACCTTATTACTAATAAATAATTCAGAGTAAGAGTTCTAATGTCTCTTATAGGTTGAGATAATGGGGAGAGACAATAATTTGGTCTGACAATTCAAACAGGAACCAGTGTCTGTAGTTTTAAGGCCTGCAGAAATTGGAGTTCTATTTTACTACAAAATTATAAATTAATTCAAACTAGTGTAAAAGAATTTTTATGTCACAATGATTGTCCTCATTAAACATCTGCAAACGGTTCTTTCCTAAGTACTTAAAACTAGTTATAGCTCTTAATAATCCAAATAATCAGCTTGAACTTAATGAAGGAACCTATACTTACTGTAACGTGAAAGATGTTCACACTGAGATTCTAGTGGAAGTTAGGAGATAATCTGTTGCTAGACGAAAAAAATCTCACTTATGTAAGGGAAAATTACATTAGACTAAATTAGTTTAGTATTACAAAAATCACCTTTTGCTTACAAATGCATAATAAATTTGGTAGACCACCTTCTCTGTAAAGACCATTAGCTCACTATCCAGGCTCCGAGACTCAGCACAAATAGGGAAAAAACAAGACAGAGTTCAGATGAGAATTGGCTAAGACACATTTCCTGCGGGAAGCAATTCTGATTGTTCTCGTTAAGTATTCTGATCTTTTAAACCTAGTCCATTCCTAAGATCACTCCAACAATGAATTTTTAGGTACAACACATCTTTTGAAAAATGTGTACAGTAAATCCAAGTCCTAATACATAAAACACATAAGCTGGTGGTACCTCCTGGCACAGTCTAAGGCTTACTTTTGCACCAACAATTTAGGAAGTTCCCTTGACTCCCAAGTTTGCCATCAGAGATTAGAACTCAACACAGAAAACAAATAGTTGTCAAACATCTAATTTAGAGCAAAGCTATACAACACAGCAAAACCTCACTTATTACATTTTATCTCCTGCAAACACAAATTGTAAGGCCCCAATTAAGACCATGAACCAACTATCAATTTTTAAAATTTTCCATCTTCCTAAAAGAAGCATAGGGTTTTGGGCCAATAGATCGAATCTGTTGCCATGATGCACAAATTCTGACCTGGTAACATAAAATCATTCTAGTAATCTGACCTAAAGCCAAGATTCTAAGACTACAGAATAAAGGCATTCTTTTGAATTCTGTCCTTTAATAGTTTTCAAAGGAAAACCATGAAAAGGCTTCCAGCTCAACAGAGACCTTGATCAAAGCATGGCAAAAATGGGCAGGCTCGCAGACCTTGGGTAATGCATGGCAAATTCAACAGGCCAAAGAAGTGAGTTTTCATGATGGGGCTCTCACCACTCACTGGTTTTGGGCCAGTTTTCCATAGCCGCCTCTCCCAGCGTCATAGTCCTGCCGATACTCATCTCGAACCTTAATTGAAAAGAACATAAGTTACATTATAGAGATGACTGGTGTAATGGACATGCCTCCCACAAACACACCAGCAGGCAAACTGTTTAGCCTTTTCAGATGTCATAATGAAAACATGCAAGCAGGACGTAACATTTTTTGAGCAATGGACATAAAGCTCAACTACTTTACAGAATTATCTAAGATGACCTAATGCTTTTGCTTACTTAATAATAAAACTACGCCAACATGGGGTTTGAACTTGTGACCCCTGAGGTCAAGAGTCACATGGTCTACCACCTGAGGCAGCCAGGTGCCCCTACTAGTGGGGTTTTTTGTTTGTTTTTACCATACATCATGCTCATACCAGCATTCAAAAGTAGCATATTCCAAAAAATAAGTACTTAAGTTGGGCTATTTTAAAATAGAAACTTAAAACTTATTTCAATTTCAGTGCATTTTCCTTTAGTTTTAGATACTTGCAGGTGCAAAGCCTCTAGCAGAAGTCCAATAATGGTTGCTTATGAAAATGTACAGAATCTATAATTTACCAATCCTAATGGGTAGTTTTCAGATTCACCTCAAGCCAGGGTTATAAGCACAAAATTATTTTCTAAAAGAACAAACACACATTGACAAAGTCCTAGTCACTAGGACTGAAACACCAGGCAAAGACTGAGCCAAGAGAACCTTCCTGCATACCTGGCCCCCAGATCGCCCACGGCCATACTGCCTGCCCTCCTTAAAGCCTGCGTCCCAGTCTGTGCGAATGATCCGGTCATCCAGACGAGTTCCATTTATGTACCTCATGGCATTTTCTGCATCTGCTCTCGAGTAGTATCTTAAGTGTAAGCATTAAGGAACACTATATAGCATTTCTCCGAACATTGTTGGAAATACAAGAAGCAACATCTCAATGAAGCTGCATTAAGAAAGAGTACAAAAAAGAACCCAACCAGATGGATTTCAAGGACAGTAACTCGGGTTTGCACAAGCCTGTCTGAGGTTGGTCAGGAGGCACTGACGGAGTCAACTATGATTTATCCATGGCTGCTAACTGTGATTTTCCTCAGCAATCTTGTAAAATATAAATATGTTTAGAGCACAAACTGCAAACTTCTTATCCAAGGAAACAAAAGCATCCAAATTTGAACTGTATATTCAATAACCTTAATAAAAAGAGAAAGTTACAGTGCATATGGAATTGCCATTGCAGTTCATTAAAGGGAAAGACTCAGTATCAGGTCACTCAGGTTAATTGTTCTCAAACCCATTTAACTAGATCCACTCAATCTTTCTTTGGGGTGATATTAAGAAAAAAAAATCTCCATAAGCAATTATGATCATTAGCTGGGTTAAGGGAAATGCTGATCTAGATTTTTTTCCCCTATGTCTTCAATTACACAGGTAGGGAAGCACTTGCCGAAATTCCAGTGCCCCAACACCTACACAATACCTAGCACGTAATAGGCATTTAATAATTTTTTGCTGGATGAATGACACGATAAAAAGGCAAAGTGAAAGAAACACTAGCAATGGCAGCCTTTCTTTTGGCAACCATTTGCTATTATGATTGTGGATCTCTGACACACAAGACAAATGCAAAAGCAAGCATTCCAGTTCTCAGAGACTATTACCTAAAAGGCAGATTTCCTTTGCTTTTTGTATTCTCACCGTTCTCTCTGTATCCTGTGAAAGTTTATCTTATTGCCACCTGAGGCAAAGGTAAAATCTGGGCACTCTTGTTTCCTATGTCTGAAGGGAAAACGGAAGCAGCTTGCAGAGCCCAGAAATCAGACATCAAAATCCAAAGTCTGGAATAGGTTCGAAAGTAGGGCTTCCAGTTCAAGCTGACAGAGCAAACACATTTCTGGTTTCCTTTTCCAGACCCCAGTAAAATGACGGAATAGGTACATATACCCAAAGAATAAAAGAGGCCATCAGCAAACTAGAGATTCAAGAAACGCCATGTCAGAGTGTCAACCGTTTTATAACACAAAGTCAGTTTGAAATATTATTCAAGGGGCTTAAAGAAGAAGAAAGCAAGTGCATGAAATGAGGCTTTTAATTCAAAGTTGACGACGAAGGTGTGAGACAGCAAATAGGATTTGTTTTTGTTTAAAGATCTTATTTATTTATTCATGAGAAACACAGAGAGAGGCAGAGACACAGGCAGAGGGAGAAGCAGGCTGCATGCAGGGAGTCTGATGTGGGACTCAATCCTGGGACCCCAGGGTCACACCCTGAGCCGAAGGCAGACACTCAGCCCCTGAGCCACCAGGCGTCCCAGCAAATAGGGTTAAATTAAAGGTCTGTATGTGGGAAGACAACTTGCTAGCAAGAATGCACTTAGACCCAAGCAAATAAAAATAAATGACAGAGTTTTGAGAAGTCTAGAGGAACCCCATATAGCAGTGTCTTCAATGTTAATAAGTCAAAATAGAATCTCTTTTCATTCTGGCATCTGGGAAAACCACATATCCCACAGACAAGGCAGCAACTTGAGAGAGATCTGCCCGGGGCCCTCAAGTTAGTTTTCTTTTCCCTAACTATGATAGGAAATCCAGGCATTACCAGACATTAAAGGAAAATGTACAGCACAAATACAACCTCCCCCCCCCAAAATATCCAAGTAATTTGGGCACCACCCCCCCAATTTTTAAACATGTCAGATGAGGTCTGGGAAATCTCTCAAAATATAAAACAATATGGCCAAAAAAAATATCAGGAGAAAAAAGCCCCAAGCAAAAAATCCAGGTCTAATATTTACAGAATTTCCAGGGAGAGAATAGTTTGGTTTTGACCTTATATAAAATCAAGCTGTATACATCTACGTAATGAAATACCATACGGCCATTTAAAAAAATAGGTAGACCTACACATGCTAACATAAAACAATCTCCAAGATGGGGAAAAAAACATGCATGTACTATGCCACCATGCATCCACAGGATCATTTCCGGAAAGATACTGAGACTGGTAACTATCTAGGTTTAGAAAGGTACAGAGATTTTGTTTTCGCTAAACCCTTTTGTACTTGTATAAATATCATGAACATACATTTTCAAAACACCGTTTCTTAAAGAATCAATAATAAACCAAGCATGGAGTTCAGAACAAAATATAAATATTAGCTTTCACAACACAAGAGTGTAGACACACGGGGCAGAAGGTAAGAGACAGATGAAGGAAGAACAGGTAGAGGATAGGGACACTGATTAGATGGCCTCACTCATTTTTTTAAACAGGTGACTAGCCACTTCTGGCCCCACCCTCATCCAATGGCTAAGCCAGACACACAGGAAGGATACTCCACAAAGCAGAACCCACATGCTGTTTTCTTCATCTTATCCAAGCCCATAATAATTTTCTTTATGTCACCACTTTTGCTGAAGAGTTCATAGATTTGTTCCTCAGTTGTGTAAAAGGAAAGATTTCCAACATACAATGTACAGCTCTTCTTCAGTAATTTTTCCTGTTCTTCATTGTCACCCTGGAATGTCAAATAGAGAAAAAATTAAGCAACACAATCTAAGAAGAGTCCCAATATTCCCAAGGATGACTAAAAGTATCATTAATTCTGATTTGGGAATCAGCTTCTCTCATCATCCCAATCTACCGCAAATCCTTTACCAAAAAGAAAAAGGTAGTCACATTCTATGAAGCACTTCTGCATGTCCAGATGCATGTCCAGACTGCTTTCAGGAGAAAGCCACTGCTTAAGAGTCATGTTGCGTGTAGGCCCCCTCCCGTGCCATACTGCCATGCAAAGGGCATGCCTTTTCTCCGCACACTCGGTATCCTCAGCACCAGAACCTCCTCTTGTGCTCGAGTTTAACTTCTGAACCTTGAACCAATATACTAAGGACTTTTTTTGAAGTGAAAAATAAATGTATTTTCAGAGATACAGTATCCCTTATAATATTTTCATAGAGGATGTTCACAATAACTGCTTAGATGGTTTAGACGCTCATATATTTTTGCGAATTTAGGAGAAAATGTAGTGATCACTAAAAACTAGAGCTTACATTCTTGACAGGCTTCCTAATTTGGAAGACAAGATGAAGCTAGAGACAGGAATACAAGTGATAATCCCCTGGGGCTCATCATGGGCTAGGTATGGTATTTTACACACGTGCACAGAAACCAGCTGGTAATCCTCAGACCATCACTTCTAGCCTCCGCATTGGGAGGACAGATGCTAACTAAATAGAAGGCCTACCCACTAACATGCTGTCAGGTTAAGGCTCTAACATCAACCATACAGTATATTCCAGTTTGGAAAGTAGCTGAATAGATCCACGCAGGCCCCCAGAGCACTTTCCCAAGAGGCCTCGCTTCTTTATTTACTGCTCTGTATATAATCTTCATTCTTAGAACAAGACTTTGCATTACTCGTCTCTGAAAGCTTTGTAGCACAGGGCTCACATTAACGGATCTCACATGATCATATTCAGCGGCAGAATGGATAGAGAAAACCATCTAAACTCACATCAAAAGGAAAATGATGAAATAAATTATAGTATGTCAATAAATACAAAACTACGCAGCACCAAAAAAAGTGTACATTCACGTGCTAAGGAACATCTCAGATAGCGTAGTAAAAAAGGTACAAAACAACGTGAAAGGTATGCTCCAAGTTATTTTTTTAAAGTATGTATACAGGGGCGCCTGGATGGCTCAGGTTGTGATCTCAGGGTTCTGGGATATGGCCCCATGTCAGGCTCCCTGCTCAGTGGGGAGCCTGCTTCTCCCTCTCCTGCCCCTTCCCCCTGCTGGTGCTTTCTCTCAAATAAATGAATAAATACATAAATATCTTTAAAAGTATGAGTATAAAAGATCTCATACACAAGAAATAGATATGTCTTCCTCTAGGGAGAATCAAGGAGCCACATTCCATGTATGAAATTGCATTTAGAGATCCCTGGGGGGCTCAGCGGTTTAGCTCCTGCCTTCCGCCCAGGGTATGATCTCGGAGTCCTGGGATCACGTCCCACATCGGGCTCCCTGCAGGAAAGCCTGCTTCTCCCTCTGCCTGTGTATCTCTCATGAATAAATAAAATCTTAAAAAAAAAAAAGTGAATGAGGTGGGTCCTAATTTACTGACCTTATTTTACACCTAGGATGAGAGTTAAGCAGCTTGTTCAAGGTCATACAGCTACTCAAGTCGTTACAGCTGGAAGCCCAACTCGGTCTCACCCCACCCCCACCCCCAAGCCAGCCTTATGCCCAATCCCATAGTTCCTTAACAAGTCCACGGGGCAAGAGTCATTCTACATTAAAAACAAGTTTTCACGACTTTGCAATGAGACAACGCATAAAGTAGATTCACCTTATTTATATCACTGCTGCTAATGATTTACTAGAGTTACCAGAAGGCCTCTTCTCTTTCCTTCCACTTTTCCCACACAAGTGAGTAATCCAGACAGACAGCCCATCGCTGAAGACGACTGAGCCCCAGGTGCTTGGGGGCGTCTCACGGGTTCTCGGCGTCCCTCAGGGGGGTGGTTTACTCCCATCTAAATACCGCTACGGGCCTTGGACTGCGCGGGTGAATAACAGAAAGCTGAAACCTTTCGGGTTCACTCTCCTAAGATGCCTGAAACTCAACATGGTCGTGATGTGTAACTTCCTAAAGTGGTGACAACTGCAAAAAGTGATCCAAGTGAAACCCCCGCTGGGCATACGTACGCGTTTGGAAAACGGCGGCCTTGGGGGACGGGGCGCCCTCAAGTCACAATCCGGGGTCTCTTGGGGCCCCTGCTCAGCGGGGAGCCTGCTTCTCGCTCTCCCTCTGCCCTCCCCCGCTTGTGATGTTTCCCAAATAAACAAAATCTTCACAAAAAAGCTACCTTAATAAATTACGTATATATACGTATACTTATTCCTGAGAGACCCAGAGAGAGGCAGAGCCCCAGGCAGAGGGAGAAGCAGGCTCCCTGCGGGGGGGGCCGACGCGGGACTGGATCCGTGACCCCGGGGTCACGCCCCGGGCTGCAGGTGGCGCTAACCGCGGAGCCCCCGGGCGGCCCCATAAATTGTAGGCCTCAGTACAGCGTCCGGGCTCCGCCAGGGCGGCGTCCCCACGTCCTTTCGCCCGCCCCGCCGGCCGCGAACGCCCCGCACAGCCACCGTCCGCGCGCGCCTCCTTTCCCAGCGCGTCTCCCAGGCGCCCTCGCCGCCGCCCACACGCCGCAGGCGCAGGCCGTCCGCGGGGCCACAGCAGCCAGGCCAGGCCGCCGTCCGTCGGGCCGCATCGCCCACCGCGACACGAGCCGCCCCCCCCCCAAGCCCGACGCCCAGTCAGCCGCGGCCCCGCCTCGCGTCCTCAGGCCGAAGAACGGAGAACGAGAGCAGAGAAGCCGCCGCTCGGTCTCCCTCACCCGGAAGTGCTGGTCCCGGTACTGGCTCAGCTCCACGTAGGAGTCGCTGCGCAGCGCCTTCAGAAGGCCGCCGGACATCGTGCGGAGGGCCGCCCGCAGACGCCGCCGCTCCCGGAACGCCGAGGCCGCCGCGGCCGTGGCGGAAGCGGAAGCGCGCGGAGGCGGCAGCGGAAGCGGCGGGAGCGCGGAGGGCGGGCGCGGCCCAATCCCGGAGCAGCAGCGCCGTCACGCGGGGGGCGCGGTCCGGGGGCGTGCGGCGCCGGCCGGAAGCGAGAGCGGCGCGCTGCGGGGTCCGGGCCGCCCCGCCATGGTTCTGCGGCGGCTGCTGGCCGCCCTGCTGCATAGCCCGCGACTGGTGGAGCGCCTGTCGGAGTCGAGGCCCATCCGGCGCGCGGCGCAGCTCACGGCCTTCGCGCTCCTGCGGGCCCAGCTGCGCGGCCAGGACGCGGCCCGGCGCCTCCGAGCCCTGGCGGCCGGGCCCGCGGGCTCCCTCGGCCGCCGCGCCGCCCGCTTCCGAGAAGCCTTCACCCAGGAGCTGCGGCGCGGCCTGCGGGAGCGCCCGGGGTCGCCCCCGCGGAGCCGCAGGGGCCCGGGCGCCCCGCCCTGAGCCGCCCCCGGGGCTCGCGCGAAGGACGCCGCGCACCTGCCCGGCCGCGGCACGTGCGCCCTCCGCGGACAGCGCTGCTCCCCGGCCCCGGCCCGGGCCCCGCCAGGACCGCCCGCGAGGCCTCCGCCCCCCGCCTCCGTGCACCGTCGAGGGCTCCGTCGAGGACACCGTGGAGCCCGCGGACCCGGACGCCCGCCTTCGCTCGGCTCGGGGATCCGGGATCCGGGATCGAGCCCCGCGTCGGGGCCCTGCGTGCAGCCCGCTTCCCCCTGGCCTGCGTCTCTGCCCCTCTCTGTGTCTCATGAGCAGATAAATACAATCTTAAAAAATGAAAGAAAATGACAGCCCGGGTGGCTCAGCGGTTCAGCATCCCCTGCAGCCCAGCGTGTGACCTCGGAAACCCGGGGTCGAGTCCCGCGTCGGGGCCCTGCGTGCAGCCTGCCTCCTCCACCGCCTGCGTCTCTGCCTCTCTCTGTGTGTGTGCCTCATGAACAGGCAAATTAAATCTTAAAAAAATAAAATAAGGACACCCCGGGTTCAGCGGTTCAGCGCCCCCTAAAGCCCAGGGCGTGACCTTGGAGACCCAGGATCAAGTGCCACGTCGGGCTCCCTGCATGGAGCCTGCTCCTCCCTCTGCCTGTGTCTCTCATGCATAAATAAATAAAATCTTAAAAACAAAAAAAACAAAACCTTCCTAACGTTCATTCTTATGCTCTGATACCGCATCAGCCTGCAAGGCCGGAAGCCCCACCGTTTCTAATGACCAAAGTCCGGGTTTGGCATCCTGCCCCCTCCCTGCTCTGACAAAGGCCAGATACTCCTCCCAGACCAGAGGCAACTCTGGATTCTCCTTGGGGGCAGCCAGTGAGGAGCCAGAGGCCCCTGGCCGATCCCGGCCTTCCTGCCGCCCTGGTTTCCATCCCACCCGCTGGTCTCTGGGGCTCAGAGCTGCAGAGTGTCAGCAGTCCCCAGCCTGACTCCCCACCCTCCACATAGGGAAGCACGCTTACCTGTAGGTCTTTTTCCAGACTGGCAGGGGCAAGAAGGGAAGCGGCGCAGGGAGCAATGAAGCTCCTGGACAACCTGGTCGTTTTTTTGTTTTGTTTTTTTTTAAAGATTTTATTTATTCACGGAGAGGCAGAGACACAGGCAGAGGGAGAAGCAGGCTCCATGCAGGGAGCCCGTTGTGGGACTTGATCCCGGGTCTCCAAGGTCACGCCCTGGGCCGCAGGCAGATGCTCAACTACTGAGCCTCCCCCCCTCCCCCCCCGGGCCTCCCTAAACTGGTCATTTTGGTAAGAAAGGAGAGAAAGCAAGAAAAGGGGGCAGTTGTTTATGTCTCGTGGAAGAAGTGTGTATGAACTAAGCTCCCTCCATTTTTGCAGAGGGACTCAGAGCAGAGAGAAGACTGGGTCCTTTGTGCTCCAGCTACAGGTGATGTGCATGCCTCCTGCTTCATTGGAGACGCCTCCGGGGATTGTCATCACGGACTTGCCGTCCCCCACCAGTCACCCTGTTACTAAAGAAATATCAAAGTCTTCCCACTACCCCCAGTGGCAATCTGCCAGCACGCCTGTCAAGCTTTTGAGTTCTACCAGAGAGCAAAGCAGGGGAGCAACTCATCCTGCTGTCTTGCAGGGCAATTCGGATTCACCCCTTGACCCTACATAGACCTACATACTCTATAGACACATTTATTAGAGGTCAGACCATCAACAATCTACATGGACTGCAACACTAACAGTTCCTCCAGAGAATTCTGAGAGTGTGGATCCAACCGGAGGAGGGAAGAGGCAAGAGGCCCCAATGAGTTTGAAACTCTAGAGTCTGGGGTGTCTGCAAGATGGCACTTGGCGGCAGAAAACAGTAAGTGCTTACTGTACGCCAGAGATGATGCTAAGCACTAGGGACAGGAAGACAAATTAGAGCGTTCATAGAAACAAAGTACGAGAGAAATGAATTGACGTGAGTGCTATAGAATTGTTTTAAAGATTTTATTTATTAATTAGAGCACGAGCACGGGTAAGGGCAGAGGGAGAAGGAGCAGCAGACTCCCTGCTGAGCGGAGAGCCTGATGTGGGGCTCGATCCCAGGACCCGGCGATCATGACCAGAGCCAAAGGCAGGCGCTTAACCAACTGAGCCCCCCGGCGCCCTGGGCCAACCCCTGCTGGCTCCTGGGAGCAGCTCTTGGCATCTCCTCCCAACTTGGAGGTCAGTGACGTCATGTTGGCCGCTTGACATCAGCTAGGGCGGGAGCATTTAGGCTGTGGCAATCAGCCAGAGATGGGGGTTTCTGCCCCAGAGAGCGGGGTGCTAACCGTTTACCAACATACTGCTGACTGTCCTGTTGCTCGGGGTTGGAGTTGCCAAGAGGCAGCGAGCTGAGCGCGGCCGCAGCGGCAGGAGCGGCAGGGCTGGCCTTGGAGCCGGGCCCATCTGAGCGGCGGGAGCAGGGCTGTGGTCCCCAGCTCAGGACCGCGGTGCCTGGGGGCCCCTTAATCTCTGGAGCAGGGGCACTTGAGGCTGGGGAGCGCGGGCAGCGTCAGGCGACAGCCCGTCCCATCCGGCGCCGGTGCCCACCGGGGGCAGCGCGGGTTCGGCGGGCTCCCTCTCAGCCCGTGGAGGGAGGCTGGCGACCGGCCATGCGCCCCGAGGGGGGAGCGGGTGTCGGGGCCCAGGCCGCCGCTACACCGCAGTGCCTCCTGCCTCCTCCTGGGCCCGACCCCGGCGGCCCCTGAGCCCGGAGGCCGAGGTCAGCGGCCAGGTGCAGAACCGGCCCGCGCCCGGGCCAGGAGCAGGAGGGCCGGGTGACGGCGCACGGCGACACGGGGGACCAAGCGCTAGCTGCCGGGCCCTCGCCGCTGCTCTTAGGCACTGAGGCTCGGGAGGGGAAGGGCCTTCCTTGCTCCCGGGCCCAGGCCTCGGAGCCTCCTCGCCGCACCTCACGGGCCGCGCCCTCCTGGCCATCCAGGACGCCAGGGGGTTGTCGGGCAGCAAGAGGTAAGGCCTCCTGGGGACTGAGGGAGGTCATTCGGGACCGCCAGTAGCGATCTCCCTCCAAGACAGCTGCTGTTACACCTCGGAACATCACAGCGGCTGGAAAGGGCGGGGCAGGCACGGACTGGCCACCGGGCATGGCCACCGGGCATGGGCCACGGGTTCATCAGGGTTGTGACTGCTCAGATCTTTGGTCTTTAGGGGGAAAGGGTGACAGCTTACCCAGAAGGCAGAGCAGCCAAAGCCTATGCACAGGAGAGGCAGTAGTGGGAATTCTGGAAGGGAAAGGAAAGGAAGAGAGTCAGGGCTGTGTCCCAGCCCAGCTACCCACAGAGGTGGAGTGGTGCCTTCCCCTATGGCTGAATCTTGGCCAATGGCTTTTCTGTCACATTGTCAGGCTTCGCCCCCAGTTCCAAGATGTGAAGGCTGAGATGGTCCCTCCAAGCCCCGCTCAGCAGAGAGGACAGGGCTGGAGGGTCTTCCAGGGTCAGGTGGGGAAACAGGAGTGTCTCACTCTTGAGAGGGAAGTGGCACTTCTCCATGGCAGGCCTGGTGGTGCCAGGGGTCACCACAAAAAGGCGGCAGAGCCACGGCCCACCGGCCACTTGGCAGGCTGGCTGTTTGGTGAGGTTGTTCAGGGCACGGCACAGGACCCAGTCCTCGGTCCCACCCATGTCCACCACCTCCACGGATGAGCCTAGGCCCGGGAGGTGGAGAAGGTGCCGGGGGGGCATGTAGGTGTGCGTGAAGAGCAGTGTGTAGTGGGTGGGCCTGCTTGGGAGTGCAGGTGCATGGACCACCTGCTCCAGGTGCCCTAGGCCAGGCACTAGGCCCCCCTGGTGCAGGCAGCCAAAGAGGAGGGCACCCAGGACATTGAAGAGGACCAGAGTGCCCTTGCAGGGCACAGGTTGGGTCTGTGGACTACAAAGTAGGACCAGGGGGACCAGGAGGGGGATCAGGAACCGGGCCTCCTGGTGGCTAAAGGCAGACAGCAGGGCCAGAGGCGTGAAGTAGAGGAGCAGGAGGCAGGCCCTGGGGCTAGACAGCAGGCCCCAACCCCCCGGAGCCCTCAGGAAGCCCGCCTGTGCAAAGGCCTGGAGGCCGGCTTGCAGCTGCTGCCACGCCGCCTGCAGGGCCCAGGCGTGCAGCATCCCGAAGAGCAGGAAACCATTGACTGCCAGGTGAGTGAGCCGCATGTGTGTGCCATGCCTCGCCAGGTTTTGAGGATCCAGGTTGTAGTACAGGAAGTTGGCAGGTGTAAGAACGAGGGCGCTGGCTCTGGATGGACTGGAGAAGTACCAGCTATCCACGGCCACAAACACGGCTGCCACGAGGGTGGCCCCTGGGAGCAGCACCAGGGCTTCCTTCATCGGCGACTTGAAGCCAGGGCTGGTGGCGCTACAAATGCTCCAGAGGAAGAGCGGGACCAGAGCAAAGGCCAGAAACGTGGGCCGGTTGAAGAAGCCAGCAGCCACGACGCCCCCGAGAAGCCAGCCGCACCACCGCGGGCCCGGGGCAGGCTTCCGGGGTGCGGGGCTCCAAGCCATGCGGGGGGACACCAGGACCAGCATCCCCGCAAAGAACAGTCCCTCGATGGCGTTGGAGAAGGTCCTTGTGTAGAAGACCAGGGTGACGTAGGACCCGGCCAGCAGGACCAGGGCGCGCCAGCGCTCCGCCCCCCAGCGCGGGGCCAGGTGGTACACGGCCAGGTCCAGGCCAAAGGAGAGGCCGGTGAGCAGGAGCCGCGGGCCCACCAGCAGCGCGTAGCCGCTGGCCGCGCCAGGCCCCAGCCCCCAGCGGCCCCAGAGTCGGAGCAGCCAGAAGGCGCAGCCCGAGGTCAGCAGCGGGAGCAGCGGCGAGCGGCAGGAGCTGGCGGCCTGGAACTCCCAGGGCCGCGCCGCCTCCACACCCAGGATGTCCTCTGTGGACGGAGAAGCGCAGTGAGCCAGGCCGCAGCAGCCGCGTCCCCCCGGCCTGCCCAGCGGTCCCTGGGCCCGAGGGCGATGGGTCCTCCTGCTCGGTGAGCTGCGCCTCAGGAGGGACCCAGGGCCCGATGCCGCCGCCCGAGCCCAGCTGGTGGCAGGGAGGACACCCGGGACCCCAACCCCGAGGGCCTGAGCGTGCCGCTGGCTCTGAGAGTGAGGGGCCTGCCCGGGACACCGGTGGCCCCCAGGCCCCCAGCAGCAGGGAAGGCCGGGCTCTGCGGCACCGTCCCCGTGGCCTCCTGATGGGTGCTCGGCACCTCCCAGGCCTCGAGTTCGAGCCTGAGATGTGGCCTGAGTGAGCGCCCGTACCTGCCTTCTGGATTACGGACGTGCTTGGTTAGGCAGCGATGGGACCGAGTGTAGGGAAGCTCAGGCCTTCCAAGGCCAGGAGGGATGGCGCCCAGGAAGTCAGGGGACAGTGTGCCCTGGGCCAGGTGTGGGGAGCGGCAGGGGGAGGCTCCAGTCCTCTCCTTGGGGTGCTAGAGCAGAGGCAGAGTCACAGTCAGGGTCGAAAACCCATCCCTGTGATGGTGGCTGTCGTCCAGGACATGCATGTGAGACCAGGGAAGGGAACGAGCGATGGCGGTTACGATCAGAAGTGGCTGTGGTGTCGTCTGTGGCACGTGGGATGCTTAGAAGGATGCATTCAGGCGGTAGTCATGCAGTGAAAAGCCTGGGGCCGGCCTGTGCCTGCGTGCTGCGGTGTCTCAGAGCTCTGAGGGGCTGGCGGGGGGCAGGGGTGTGCAGGGGGCGGACATCGGGCTCTTTACTCTCCTGTGTATCCCCACGCCCTCTTGGCCATTTTCTCTATGTCAGAAGGTGAAAGGGAGGGACGCCTGGTGGCTCAGTCAGTTAAGCACCCGACTCTTGACTTCGGCTCAGGTCATGATCTCAGGGTCCTGGGATGGAGCCCAGCTCTGGCTCTGCCTTCAGTGGGGAGTCTGCTTGAGATTGGGGCTCCCTCTCCCTCTGCCCCTTCCCCTCAACCCTCTATCTCTGAAATGAATGAATGAATGAATGAATTAAAAAAATAAGGTGAAAGGGAAACAAAATCAAGGTCAAATCAATCTGGCTGCCTTTTTTTTTTACTGGCTCAGGTTAAAAACCTTTCACCTAAAAAAAAAAGGCGGGGGGGATCCCTGGGTGGTTCAGCGGTTTCCTGCCTGCCTTTGGCCCAGGGCGTGATCCTGGAGTCCCGGGATCGGGTTCCGTGTCGGGCTTCCTGCATGGAGCCTGCTTCTCCCTCTGCCTGTGTCTCTGCCTCTCTCTCTCTCTATGTCTATCATAAATAAATAAAAATAAATCTTTAAAAAAAAAAAAACTTTCACCTAAAGAAACAAACCCAGCTGTGAGTCCTATGACAGAGCCAGCTGCGTGTCTCCCCAGTATCCATCGCTTCCTTCCTTCCTTCATTTATTTAGTTGGGCATTTGGTCAGCCATAAAGACTATTTCTCAGCTTCCTTTGCAGCTGGGTGTGTCCACGTAATACATTCTGACCAACCGGATGGAAACGAGCAAAAAGTATATGACATTCAAAATATGCCCTTAAAGGGGCATCTGGCTGGCTCAGTTGGAGGAGCATGTGACTCTTGATCTTGGGGTTGTAAGTTTGAGCCCCGTGCTCTTGAACCATGAGGAGGAAGCCAAGTGCCCACAGCATCTGAAAAGCCTCACAGTCCCTGGCAACCACCCTCAGGCTGTATCCTACACCCTTCGGCAGATAAATTCTAACCAGTGAGCATTCCAGGCCTGGATTCCCTCAGCTCTCAGACGAACCTAGAGAAGACAAATTTCAGTACCTCAGGCCACAGCCATGTGTACATGTCCCCAAGCACTCAGGAGGCCCGACTCTAAAATCTCTTTGCTGAGAAGTACAAAACAGTTTCCACTCTGAACAGCCAGCACTGTTGGTCCAAGCAGCAAAACACCAAAGAGGCTGGCATTTCATTCGTCCCATCCAGAGGGTCAATGTCACAGGTCAGGAAGGAGATGTGAAATCCCCATGGGCGAGTTCTCATTCCGGAGAGGCTCATGGATTTACTGCTCAGCCACACAGGCGTGGTTCCCCCCTCCCCGCTGACTCTCCAAACGGCAACCACCCAGACTTTGCTGCAACTTATCCCAACGGCACACAGGGGCCTTACCTGCCATGACCTCAGGTGACTGGAAGAACTCATCCGGGTGCACATAGCCCGTCTGTGGAAGGAGACACCACACCAGGCGGAGCAGGCCCAGGCTGCCCCACAGCACCCTGAGGGCCATCTTCAGATCCAGCTGTGGCCGAGACCCTGTGCCAGGCGCCTCCAACGGCTTCTCGGTCATCTCAGATGCTGTTCTAGTTCCACAGACCTGCATCTGCTGAGAATAGCATTGCTTAGTTGCTTTTGTTTTTGCTTTTTTAAGATTTTATTTACTTATTCACGAGAAACACAGAGAGAGAAGGAGAGACACAGGCAGAGGAAGAAGCAGGCTCCCTGCAGGGAGCCCAATGCGGGACTCAATCCCAGGACCCTGAGCCAAAGCCAGATGCTCATCTACTGAACCACCCAGGCATCCCGGTTAGTTGTTATAGGTAAATTATAATATGTCCAGTTGTCTATATGAACACAAAATGGGCCCACGAGATAGCAGGAGCATCCCGTGCATATCTCATTTCATCCTTTCTACAGTCTGGGGCAGTGGGTCTTCCTATCTCCATTTTACATATAGGGAAACTGAGGCCTCTGTTGAGTGACCTGGTTACTGCTAACCATATTTGCTAAGTGTCTGAATGTGACATCCGCACATAGGGTTTAGGGTGGCCTCCAAATACGGTTCTCACAGCCCCATCCTGCTCACCAGTTCCTGCCCATGGACAAGCACGGTAGCCTGTCTCTTGCCCTTCTGAGAACTTTGGATCCTCAATGCATTCCACCCATTTCCCTGCAAAAATAAACTACGTTTGACCCCATTGTCGCCAGTCGCTCCCTCCAACCTTCACACAGCCTGAAATTTCCCTTTGGAAGGTCCTGAGAACTGAGTGCTATGGTCGGAACGTTTGTGCCCTACCCCATTCATTGGCTGAAATCCTAATGACCAATGTGATGGAGTCAGAAAGGGGAGGCCTCTGGGAGGGAGTCCTCATGGGTGAAGCCCTCTGAATGGGATTAGTGCTTTTATAAAAGAGACCCCACAGAAGTCCCTCATCCCTTCCACCATGTGAGGATGCAGTGGGAGGAAGAGGGCCCTCACCATGCCAGCACCTTGACTTTAGACTTCTCAGCCTTCAGAACTGTGAGAAATCAATGTCTCTTGTTTATGAGCCCCCCCCCCCAGTCTGTGGTATTTTGTTATAGAAGCCTGAGCACATGAGATACTTTCCCCTGGTGGGGATTCTTACACCCCCAACCTAAGATCTGTAGGAATTGGAGCCTGCTGCCCGACGGACCTCGGTGCCAGACATCAGGACTTCCCTATCATCTCCGGTGAACAGGAACACAGTCCGACTCTCCCCCAAGAGCACAGATGGTGACTGTTTGCTCCTGACTTTGCTATTTTAAAGCCTGATATTAAGATTTTATTTATTTATTCACGAGAGAAATAGAGAGGCAGAGACCGAGGCAGAGGGAGAAGCAGGCTCCATGCAGGAAGCCCGACGTGGGACTCGATCCCGGGACTCCAGGATCATGCCCTGGGCCGAAGGCAGGCGCTAAACCACTGAGCTCCCCTGGGCGGCCCTTAAAACCTGATCTTAACAGCTATTGTCTTCCAGTGGAATAGGTTGTAGCAGAGGGGATGAGAGTGTAAAGCAACAGAATAGGATTCCAGCAGATGCGGACAAGGAGCCTCCTGATACTTAGTAAACACCTCAAGGGACGCCGGGGCGGAAGGGGGGGCCCTCAGCGGATGAGCGCCTGCCTTGGGCTCAGGGGTGACCCCTGGGTCCCGGGATTGAGTCCCATGTCGGGCTCCCTGCATGAAGCCTGCTTCTCCCTCTGCCTGTGCCTCTGCCTCTCTCCCTCTCTCTCACTCTCTCTCTCCCTGTGTCTCTCATGAATAAATAATCTGTAAAACAAAAACAAACAAACAAAAAACTAAACACGTCAAGGAGTTTGAAGATAGCTTTTGCAGTCTCTGCTTGAGCTTTCGGACTGAATTGTACAGATTCTTTTTCCAGAGCCAGTGAATGAATATCCTGACTTTTAGATGGAAGATGAGTTTGGGACGCCCGGGTGGCTCAGCGGTTGAGCGTCTGCCTTGGGCTCAGGGCTTGACCCCGGGGTCCTGGGATCGAGTCCCCCATCAAGTTCCCCGCAGGGAGCCTGCTTCTCCCTCTGCCTGGGTCTCTGCTTCCCTCTCTGTCCCTCATGAATAAATAAATAAAATCTTTAGGAAAAAAATTGAGGTAGGATGAGGTCAAACAAGGACCCATTCCTTCCCAAGCAATGCCTAAAAGAGAACTTCAATCTCCTCCATTTTGACCTTAGTCTGTACCCCATAACTAATTAATTCTTCTTTCCAGCCTATCTCTTAACTCAGGCAAAAGGCCCTGTGGGCAAAGCGTCCCTTAATGGGAATCAAACCTTCCTACCCCTTCAAGCAATAAGGACTGCCCTGAGCCAGCAAGACCCTTAGTGACTGTCCCCGAAACAATGATCGACCTGACTTTCCCTGCCCACCTGCATGTACCCACAGCATCAGTCCAGTGTCTTCCCAGTGCTGGCCTCCGTGAAATAAATTCCTTTCCTGTTTCACCACCACTTGTCTCTCTGTCTTTGGATTCTTTGGATTTTGTCAGCAGTGAGTGGCTGAACCGGTCTGTTGGGAGCCCTGGAGCCAGGGGTGCTTGCACCCCTCAGCCTGGTTACATGCCCTCACTTTAATTTTCCTTCCAGGCTGGAATTCAAAGTGCATTGTAATTTAGCAGTTCACAGGATGAGAGTGTGGGTTTGGTTTTCAGCAATTTCAGCCCTAGAGGAGATAAGGGTCTCTTTGAGGGCACACAGAGGTCATTTTATGAGGACCTTGAGCTGGGGATTTGAAGCCCAGCAAAGGTACCATTTACATGGTCACCCAGAGCCTTGCCTGGGGGCCCTCTAATGCCACAGCACACCATGCACTCCCAGTGCCCCACTTCCCACTTGAAATAGAGTCATTTTTAGTGCCTTCAGATCTAATCCGTCTAGGGAACCAGTTCCATAAAACCCAGAACCCCTATTCAGAAAAACCCATGAGATCCTGTTCCTCTAGAACCATTTGCAGGAACAAAATCTGTATGAGTCAGGGTTCAGCCAGAGGAAGAGAACCAGTAGGAGATATGCACTAAGATTTGTTAAGAATTGGCTTATGCATTTGGGGGGCTGGCTACGCAAATCTGAAACCTAAAGGGCATTTAGGAAGGGCAGGCCACTCTGGGGCAGGATGGGAGGCGGCCTCCACGGAGGGCAGTTTCTAATTCAGGAACACCTTGGTTCATTCTAAAGTCCCTTCAACCGATCCCATCAGGCCTACATAGATTATCTCGAATAACCTCCTGTATTTAAAGTTACCTGATTGTGCACTTTCTACAAAATACCTTCTACATCTACAAAATACCTTCACGGCAACATTCAGCTTAGTGTTTGATCAGCTGGGGATCATCGCTTAGGCAAGTTGACACAAAAAACTGACCAACATGCCCTAAATAATTCAGGGTTTATGGCTGTATTTCAATTTTATTTATGATTTTTTTTAAAGAGATTTTGAGGGGCTCCTGGCTGGCTCAGTTGATAGAGCATGTGACTCTTGATCTCAGGGTTGTGAGTTTGAGCCCTACACTGGGTGTAGAGATTACTTAAGAATAAAATCTTTATTTATTTAAGAATAAAATCTTAAAAAAAATTAAATGTACACTTTAGAAAGATTTATTTGAGGGGATCCCTGGGTGGCTCAGTGGTTTGGAGCCTGCCTTCGGCCCAGGGTGTGATCCTGGGGTCCTGGGATCGAGTCCCATGTCAGGCTCCCTGCATGGAGCCTGCTTCTCCCTCTGCCTGTGTCTCTGCCTCTGTCTCTCTCATGAATAAATAAATAAAATCTTAAAAAAAAAAGATTTATTTGAGAGAGGGAGAGAGAGTAGGGGGAGGGGCAGAGGGAGAGGGAGTCTCAAGCAGACTTCCACGCTGAGTGTGGAGCCCGACTCGGGGCTTGATCTCAAGACCCGAGATCAGGACCTGAGCTTCAACCAAGAGTCGGACACTTAACCGCCTGTGCCACCCAGGCACCCCTCTGTGTTTGAATTTTAGCTCAATGGGATGATTCTTCAGGTAACTTACCCGTGGCTTGTTTCTTTTACTCAAGAGTCTGTTAATGGCTTTCCTGCTGGTCCCGTAGCTGCAGGCCCTCTTCGGTGCTCTGTGGTCGGCACTGGATGACTACACCGCAATCTAGGCGTCCTTCTGTTGTTTATCTGCCAGGGCATCTCCAGGCATCGACAAATCCTTCTTTTCCTGCAAATGCTGCTACAAACATTCTTACACAACAGGTCCCTGAAGTACATTCCTAGAAATGGAATCCCTGGGTCTTGGGTGTGCATCCCTCTAACCTCATTACACAATGTCCAGCTGTTCTGCAAAGGTCCTGCCAGCCAGCAGATGGCTCAGTGCCCACGGCTCCATACGCTCGTTTATGCTTGGGACGCTCTACCATTTTGATTTTGTGAATCTTGTGGGTTTTTTTACATGTGTTTCTCTGATCACTGATGTAGCCGAACACCTTTGCAGATGTTGGTGGAACAGTTTTGTTTCTTCTGTGGAATTTCTTCTGATCATTTTTTCTTACTCTGTGTAGGAATTCTTTCTATATTCCTACATGGAAAATTCCTTTTCCAACTTGTGGTTTGCATTCTCAACTCATTTCTATTCCTATAATGTTGGTTTCTTATGCTTTCTTTTTGTTTCCTGATCCTTTCCACCAGCATTTTGTCAATTTTATGAATCTTTATTGAAAAATTGACTTCTGGCTTTGTTCATCTTTTTTCTGTTTCATCCCCTTTTAATTAATTTTTCTTATTTTTATTTTTTTCCTTCTGTTTACTTTCTTGGAAAAATTATTTTGCTGTTTTATTTGAAACTTTTTCTTTTTTTTTTCAAAGATTTTATTCATCTATTAATGAGAGACATAGAGAGAGAGAGAGACAGAGACACAGGCAGAGGGAGAAGCAGGCTCCATGCAGGGAGCCCGACATGGGACCTGATCCTGGGACTCCAGAATCATGCCCTGGGCTGAAGGCAGGCACCAACCTGCTGAGCCACCCAGGGATTCCCTCAAACTTTTTCATATGGACACTTAGTTCATTAATTTTGAGCCTTTATTTTTGAGTTCATTAATTTTTGAGCCCATTTTCTATGAGAAATATTTAAGGTTATACATTTTTATTTTTTTAAATTTTCATTTTTAAAATTTATTTTTAAAAAAAGATCTTTTAAAATTTATTCATGAGAGACACAGAGAGAGACAGAGACACAGGCAGAGGGAGAAGCAGGCCCCACACAGGGAGCCCGACATGGGACTCAATCCCGGGTCTCCAGGATCACGCCCTGGGCCGACGGCAGAGCTAAACTGCTGAGCCGCCCGGGCTGCCCTACATTTTTCTTTAAACACTGTATTAACTGCATCCCACAAGTTATGCTATATAATATTTTCATCACCTTTGGTTATAAATGTTTTCTAATTCTGAGACAGAGCAGGGACTGGGTTGGGGTTCCCTCAATCCTGACCAGGAAATCCAGTGTTCCTTGTGAGCTGAAACCGTATGCCTCTTGAGTAGCAGCATATCTTGCAGGAACGCAGAAGCAGGATGCTCACCAAAGGAAGGACTCAAACTAGTCTGTGCCAGGGTGGACCCCAGCGCTGGCCTATCACTCACCTTTCCCCTCATTATAATACTAAAACCACTCCTAGGGGCACAGATTTAACATACAAATGAGACATGCAACACATAAGGAAGCATGTCCTGCCCATCACGTCTGCACACATGACTTTCTGCATATCTCTCCCCCCTGCATATTCAGACGTCACTCCTTTCCAGCCACAATCTCTTTAACAACCTTCCCTGGGAGGCACCTGGGTGCCTTGGTCAGTTAAATGTCTGCCTTCAGCTTAGGTCATGATTCCAGGGTCCCGGAATCAAGTCCTAGAGCAGGCTCGTGTGCTCTCTCTCTCTCTCTCAAAATAAATAAATAAAATATTTTTAAAAATAAAAAAAAAATAAGTAAAGACTTTCCCTGGTTTTGTTTGGAGAGCTAGCATAAAGAATACTTTCCTTCATGCTGTCTCCCTGGTGCTGGAGCAAGAGCCCCCTTGACTGGAACTTACCTTTGGCCTCTAGTAAATTTGTATTGCTTGAAGAGCCCAAGGACCCTGGTTGGAAAAATTCCATTCTAATTTCTTCTTTGACTAATGCTTTATGGTTGAAGAATTTAATTTTTTGGATCCAGACTTTATTTAAACATTTTTAAATTTTTAAATTTTTATTTATTTATCTGACAGAGAGCACACACAAGCAGGAGGAGCAGGAGAGGGAGAAGCTGACTCCCCACTGAGCAGGGAGCCCAATGTAGGGCTCAACCCCAGGACCCAAAGATCGCAAGCTGAGCCAAAGGCAGACACATAACTAAGCCACCCAGGAGCCCCCTTTTTTCTGTTTTAGACACACAGGTCTCTAATAGCCAAAATGGGCAGAGAAAATGAGCTCCTGCTCTGTCCGCCACAGTTCCCATCCTGCCAGCCTTTCCCTCCTTTCCAACATAGAAATTCACAGCAGCTGCTTTACAACTACAGCTGTGATGCATTATGTATTTCATTTTTTAAAAGATTTTATTTATTTATTCATGAGAGACACATAGAGAGAGAGGCAGAGACACAGGCAGAGGGAGAAGCAGGCTCCATGCAGGGAGCCCAACGTGGGACTCGATCTCGGGACCCCAGGATCAGGCCCTGGGCCGAAGGCTGCGCCAAACCGCCGAGCCACCCGGGCTGCCCACATTACATATTTCATATTGTGTGCGTGTCCCTTCCCAACATCTCCGTGCTTAAAAACAAAAGTGGCCAGAGGGACACCCTTCCCAACAGCATCAGTTCCTGTGCCACCCTGGGATAAGTTAGATCTTCCGTCACGAGTTACTTAGGGAAGGAGGCGGGATGGCCAGCGCTGGAGTAACCGTCTGCATTGCTGCACTCTGGTATCAAAGTGAGGACAGAAGAAACGGGACAGCGTGGAGGGCACAGCTGCAAGTCGGGGGGCTCCGTGGGACACTGGGGAGAATTATCCCCCCCAGGTGTAGATAGATCAACGTGCCAAAGTTGAAAAAAAATCCAAATAATGAGAAGTTCAAATGCTGTTGAATTTTCAGACTTGTCCCACCAAGACATGTCATAGAGCAGTAACAATCTAGCTCTTTCCAGGAAGTGAAGGTAGAGGCCCCAGCCTGCCTCCTGGGAACCCTAGGTCAGAATTACAAAGTATCGGCCACTGTGGTAGCTGCTGCTACTCCACTTGCGACTTCTCAGGCTCCAGGACAACAGGGAGACCTGGGATCGCGCAGGAAGTGGTCCCAACCCACAAGGCTGCCCTAGAAAATCTGTACAATTGTTGGGCCACGATGACAGATTAAAAGTGGCTCCAGCTGTAGACGGGCCCCTCACTGAGAACATCTGTAGGTCCCCACAGTCTCTCTGATGGCCTCATCCAGCTCCTTGTCATCTTCCTTCTCTCGCTCCTTCTCAGTCTTCTTGGCGTCGCCTTTCCATAGCAGCTCCTCTGGGGCCGGGGCACCCCAGGGCTGCCAGCAGGGGCCACTACCATAATATTTAATACGCTATGTTCTGTGGTTTCATTATGTTAGCATTCTGGGTGGCATTTCTTTTTAGCCCATTTGGAAACTTTTTTGGCTTCCTGACTACGTGGACAACGGTCTTTTTCCAACTATAGAAAACAATCTTCCATCATTTTTTTCCAAATTTTATCTCTTCTCTCTTTTTTAAAGGTTTTATTCATTTATCCACGAGAGACAGAGAGAGAGAGAGAGAGAAAGAGAGAGAGAAGCAGAGACACAGGCAGAGGGAGAAGCGGGCTCCTGTGGGGAGGCCAATGCGGGACTCTATCCTGGGTCTCCAGGATCACAACCTGAGCCAAAGGTAGATGCTCAACCACTGAGCCCCCCACAGGCATCCCAAAATCTTTTTGTTCTTTTTTAAACCTTTCTATTGAATTTTACATTTCAATTTTATGTTTTTCTTTCCTATGAGTTGTTCGATTTTTTCCACAGTTGTTGCTCTTGTGTCATATTCTCAAGCCCCTTTCATTATAGTACATTAAGCACACTTATTTGGTATCGGAGATCTGGTCATTCCAACATCTAAAGTGTTTTTAGGTTTGAATCTGCTGTCTTGCTTCTGCTGGTTCTCACTCATGGTGCCTTGTTTACTTCTATATTTACCAAATTATTTTATGTATTCCTTGGACATAACCTGTGGGAATGATTTGAGGCCAGTGATGAAGGCAACTTTCTGAATTCCACTGACAGGGATTCACACTTGCTTCTGTCAGGGGCCTGGGGGCATCAAAAGTCTGGGGCCAGTTTTGATCATATTATTGGCTGCAGGTTTTTGGGTTTTCGTTTTTTGTTTTTAGGGGAGGTGGTGCCTCGCCATGTGAATTCAGGCTGAAAATCTCTACGAGGGCAGGCCCGTGGTTATACATTCTCAGGGGAGATTCCCTCACCAGCACCCAGATTCCATCAGCTTCAGGATTCCTTGCAGTCCTCTGGGGATGGAAGAGTTTATTTCTAGGTCACTCACCTTTTTGGTTGCTCCTTTTTTAAACAGTTTTATTGAGACATAATTAACAAAGAACTCATTCATTTACAGTATTCAATTCGGGGCTGCCTGGGTGGCTCGGTCAGTTAAGCCTTTGACTCAGGTCATGATCTTAGGGTCATGGGATCGTGCCCCGCATCTGCTCAGCACAGAGTCTGCTTGTCTCTCTCCTCTCTCTCAAATAAATAAAATCTTAAAAAGAAAAGTGTTGGGATCCCTGGGTGGCGCAGCGGTTTGGCGCCTGCCTTTGGCCCAGGGCGCGATCCTGGAGACCCGGGATCGAATCCCACATCGGGCTCCCTGCGTGGAGCCTGCTTCTCCCTCTGCCTGTGTCTCTGCCCCTCTCTCTCTCTCTGTGACTATCCTAAGTAAATAAAAATTAAAAAAAAAAAGAAAAGTGTTCAATAGTTTTTAATATATTTGCAGATATATGTAACCATCACCCCTGTCAATACTAGATCATTTTGATCCCCTCAAGAACGAAACACATACCCCTTACTTCATCATCTCCCATCCTCCTGCCACCATTGCAGCACTAAGCAACCACCAATCTTTCTCTGTGTAGATTTTTCTGTTGTGGACTTTCATATGAATAGAATCATCCAGCACGAGGCCTTTTGTAGTTAGCTTATCTTGCTTAAAATAATGTTTTCTGGGGCACCTGGGTGGCTCAGTGGGTTGAGCGCCTGCCTTCGGCTCCGGGCATGACCTTGGAGTCCCGGGATCGAATCCTGCATCAGGCTCCCTGCATGGAGCCTGCTTCTCCCCCTGCCTATGTCTCTGCCTCTCTCTGTGTCTCTCATGAATAAAATAAATAAAATCTTAAAAAAAACAATGTTTTCAAAGTTCATTCATGTTATAGACTGTATCAGTTCTTATTAGTTATTATGGCCAAATACAAGTCCATTGCATGGATGTACCACATTTTGTGTATCCATTCATCTGCTGATGAACATTCGA